CCTTTGTGCCAGTGCAATCACCAATTTTCTGCTCTAGTTTCAATGTTTATTTCATATGTTGTAACAGCATGGAAAATACACTGTTAAATGAATGTTAAAGAAGGACTTTATGTGGTTAGACACTGAGGAATGGGGTGCACATACTTTCACATGATGGTAGTGGAGGTTGGGATTTCATTGAATGATTAAACCAGTTGCTGGGAGTATTTAAATAGGGAGACCCAACTACATTATACTGTTTTTCCCCTTTTGGACTGTAAAAATTCTTTGTGATATAAGGTTGCCTGCTATCTCAACAAGTCCAGCTTTCTTTTATCTCATGATGATTCAGCAAAGGCTGTTGGGAAAAATATGCAAATATCCCAAAGCTCAGATATACTAATTCTGGAAAAGAACAAACTTGCATATATAAATCACCTTTAGGTGGATTTTTTGTTAAACTAACTAATGTTATGACCCAATTAAGAGGGAATTCCTTTAGCTACCCCTCCAAGAATAAGCTCTGTTGAACTCAGTTTGAGTTCTGAGTAAACAAGCATAGGATTATAACAAAAATTTAACTGATTAAGTACAATAGAGGGATATAACTTTTTCAAGATAAACAAGCCAAACAGGAAAGGAGGAGGAATAGCATTATATGTCAATGATCTTTACACCTGTGAAAAGATCCAGGACTTAAATCCTGGAAATCAGGTGGAGAGCACTGAAAAAAATTAAAGGGGAGGGAAATAACAAGAATATTATTGTGGGAGTCTACAATAGAACCCCAAGGCAGACTCAAGAATTGGATGATCCATTCCTAGAACAGATGACTACACACTCAGAAAAGAGAGATGTAGTAGTGATGGGTGACTTCAACTATCCAGATCTTTGATTTCAGTCAAAATGTTAAGGTCTAGCAAATTCCTCACTTGCCTCAAATACAATTTCATTGTCCAAAAGGTGGAAGAGGCAACAAGAGGGTCATCTATTTTAGATCTGATCCTAACCAACAGGGATGATCTGGTAAATGGAGTGCAAGTGGTGTGATCATTAGGTGGGAGGGATCATGTTCTCCTGGAGTTTGTTATACAGTGGAAAGGAGAAGCCAGGCATGCATCTTAGACTTTAGTAGAGCTGAATTTAGTAAGCTTAGGGAAATACTGGAGGTGATCAGGAACACTAAAAGAGAAAGGAGTTCAGGATGGATTGGAGCTTTTCCAAAAGGGAGATACTGAAGGCACAATTTCAAACTGTTCCAATGAGGAGGGAAAATGGGAGGTGTCTCAAGAAACCAGGATGGATGATTAAAGAACTTTCCATTGAGCTAAATTTTAAACAGGAGATGTATAAGAAATGGAAAAAGGGTAATTGTTTAGGTGTTTGAAGGAGTGTCATATTGAGTATGGAGCAAGCTTGTTTTCTATTGTATCAGAGACTAGAACAGTGGTTGTTGGGATTCCATGCAGGAATGACACGCCGAGACGGAATGGGGGTGCAATGCTTGAGCATGTGTTTTTCCCTCTTGCCTTTTATTAGCCATTTCTCTACAGCATGCTCAATGCAGTCAATCAATCATTAACTGGTAGTAGGTGCTATTCCAGTGTTGAACTCAAAGGTCAGAGTAAGCAAACAGGATACAGGAAACAAGCCAAATTAGTCATTAACACATAGACCAGCCAGGTCATTAATTAGGATGTGTATATCTGTGTTTATTCACTAGGCTGTGTGTACATGTAATTAACAGCCAGGTTAATTGCTAGACTGCGTACATGCGGAAAGGCGCATTGTGTATGAGGGAGGAAAATGGGGGTCTCTCCATGGCTTGCCAGCGAATTTCCCCGACATCTCCCTCTTTTTTGT